ATTGTTGATGGATATAGTAATTCTATTAACATATTGAGATAATTAGCCGGTTAAAGCAGCCCATTGCTTGTCATTTCTGATATCTGTGTGGTGTTGATGGACAGCTCTTTAATAAATGTTGTGTGTGTGGTGTGAGAGAGTGAGTGAGTGAGTGAGTGAGTGAGTGAAGAGAGAGAGAAAGCGTGTGTGTGTGGTGAAGAGAGAGAAAGCGAAAGAGAAGAGAAGAGTTTGTGTGGGTGTAGTATGTGTGTGTGTGTGTGTGTGTGTGTGTGTGTGTGTGTGTGTGTGTGTGTTGTTGTGTGTGTGTGTGTGTGTGTGTGTGTGTGTGTGTGTGTGTGTTGTGTGTGTGTGTGTACAGCTCCTCACTGCTGTGTTAGCGACTGTAGAGCTTCCAACATGTTTCTCTTGTATTCAGTGCTCCATTTATGTTCAAATTTTAATCCAAAAAAAAGTGCTTTGAGAACGCATTATATGGCCTCTGTATTTATGGGAAGGTGGGCCTCGAAAAAATGTAAGACTTAAAAGTGGGCCCTGAGTTGGAAAAGGTTGGGAACCACTGGTCTATGGGAAACATGTATGGAACTTTTTACGTTTACCCATTTTTAATCCTGGTAGGACGGCAGCTTAGAATTTGTTATCTTCACATATAAAACCGATAGAAAGAGCAGAGTAACAGTCACTTATATTAATGCCATGAGGATGTCATTGTGTGTGCCAAGGTTTTATAATTATATTTATATATCCGACAGCATAAATTTGCCCACATAATAAATGTATGTTCGGAGTGAAAAGCCAGCGAGTAGAATGACTAATGCTCCGGTAAATCTAACCAGAAGCTGCATGTGTTATACCGTAAAAATGGGATTACTCTGCTGTGGGCTAAAATAATAATAATGTGATATACAGTAAAGGTGGACCCTTGGTCTAAAATGAATTTGTTCCATTGATAGATACATGTATTTACAGATATCATCTAAGTTGCAAGAAAGACAAAGGAAATGTATATGCAGTATATTGCCATCACATCACAGAAATACAGTATTTGTATGTATGTATTTTTTCATTGAGTTCAAACAACTTGAACCTTTAAGACTGATATACAGTCAATTTCAGTTTTTTAAGAAACTCCAATCTTCTCACAAACTTGAAATAATTCCCCTGTCAATCAACCAACCCAAAACACAACACACAGACATACAGGACTGTCTCAGAAAATTAGAATATTGTGATAAAGTTCTTTATTTTCTGTAATGCAATTAAAAAAACAAAAATGTCATACATTCTGGATTCATTACAAATCAACTGAAATATTGCAAGCCTTTTATTATTTTAATATTGCTGATTATGGCATACAGCTTAAGAAAACTCAAATATCCTATCTCTAAATATTAGAATATCATGAAAAAGTATACTAGTAGGGTGTTCAACATTCGTTGAACACCCTACTAGTATACTTTTTCATGATATTCTAATATTTAGAGATAGGATATTTGAGTTTTCTTAAGCTGTATGCCATAATCAGCAATATTAAANAGACTCGCCGAGTAAAACTTCTCTGAAGGTAATTACTTTGTCTCTCCGGTCGTCGAAGACAGACTACCCTTCTACAACAAGACTGTTTGAATATATAAATATTGAAAATTAAGTAAGTGTACACGCCATATTACTCGTTATTGTCCGTGTCTACCCTTGTGTGTGTGTGTGGTGTGGTGTGTGT